CACACACACACACACACACACACACACAGAAAAATAAAAAAAGAAGAGACTAGAGGGAACTTAATTTATACAGTAGTTACCTTGGGTTTAAGTCCCAGAATATAGGAATGAGGATGGAGTTAAAGAAAAAACAAAACAAAACATTAGTGAACTTGTTCCAAAGTCATCACTTAACCACTGCCCCCAACCTCCATAGTCTTGGTCATCCTGGCACTCATTATACAGACCATGCTGGCCTCAAACTCAGTTTTTCCTGTCTTCCTCCTGAGTGCTGGAACCAAAGGTATGAGACACCACTCCCAGACTACTTAATTATTCTTATCATTCACTGTTACATATTTTCCTAGTATAAACTGCTCTGTGAAGCTTTCATATCTAGATGTATAAAAGGACAAATGAACAAATGGAGGAACACATTAATAGTTATAAGTTTTAAAATGGCAGAATCATGATCAATGCAGGGCAGGATATTTTATATGCTCATTGTTCACAACCTCATCCATCCATCCAACCATCCATCTATCCATCCATTCATTCATTTAATTTTTACCAGAAGTTCAAGATGTGCTAGGCCCTGGGTAAGAATAAAAAATTTAATCTGAGTACAAAAAAAATTTAAAGTTGTTTGAAACAGTGTTCACAAATGGGCATGGAAGTATCTATTAGTAGAACCTCAAAAGAAAACTGATTCAGAAGCTTCTCAGATACTGAGCAAGTCAAAGTACAACTTCTGCTACGAAGTCTAAATGCTCGTGCTTACAACTCTAAGAACAACATTTCTCTATGCTCTAAGGAGTAAATTAGCAGTTAATGTTGGATTTCTTGCAAAGGTTTTCCACAGTGGTTTAAGAAGCAGTTGATACTTACGCCCTCTAGCAGAGACACAGGAGGACTACAGGCTCCTCTCAGGGTCTGCTTTAGAAATGCACCCCAATCAGACACTTTATCTCTGATGCCTAAACAAGGGAAGAAATAGTTATTCCTCATGTCAGCCACAGAACACAAAGAAGCCTGACATATAGAAATGGCTTAAGGGTGTGTTTATCACTTAAAAATCAGTGTATTGCTTCTTTGAGAGCATGAAAAGATCAAACAAAACAGCTACAAAACTTCCCACTCTCCACTGAGCCATGTGCTCGTTAGTTTTTGTCGCCTTGACGCAAACTACGGTCATCTGGGAAGAAATCCCAATTAAAAAATGCTTCCATCCCACTGGCCTGTACACTAGTCTGCGGTACATTTTCTTGATTACTGACGGGTGTGGGAGGGACCAGACCACTGTGGGGTAATATCCTTGGGCAGGTGGTCCTGAGGTGGGTAAGAAAGCCAGCTGAGCAAGCCACAGGAATAAGACAGTATAACGTTCCTCCATGGCCTCTGCTTCACTTCCCACGTTGGCTTCTCTCAATGAACTGTAGCCAGAGATAAATGTATACCGAAGAAACCCTTCCCTGCTCAGATTGCTGTTGGCCATGGTCTTTATCATAGTAATAGAAACCAAATTAAAACAACTACTCTCTGGTTAGCTCAATAAGAATTATAAGTAAAACAAAGACTATGAGTTATATATAAAATAATTCCCTTAATTTTACAAAAAAAAATAAAGCTTCATTTCTATTATAAAAAATTTCAAACATGAATAAAAAATACAAAAAGCGGGCTGGATGTGGTGATGCATGCTTTTAACCCAGTACTTTGGGTAGTTAAAGCAGATAGATCTCTATGTGCTCAAGGCCAACCTGAACTACATAGCAAATTCCAGGCCAGTCAGGGCTACATAATGAGACCCTGTCTCAAAAAACAAACCAACAAAAACATACACAGAAAAAGGTATAATGAATCTTCATGCACCCTAGCTTCAACAACTGTCACCTCATGCCTATACGTTTCATCCAGAGCAAAAGTTAGCAAACTGCCTTGTGGGCTAAGTCAAACCTGCTTTTTATAATAAAACTTTATTGGCACATAGCCATGCTGACTGTTGGTGTTTTGTCTGTGGCAGCCAGCTTTCAAACTGCAAGGGTAGAGAGCAGCAGCTATGACAGAGACCCTATGAGTGACAGAACTAAAGCCTTCATTATCTGGCCCTGAGCAGATCATTTGCCAACCCCTAGCAAATACCCTCACAAATTCTACTGCCACCCAATCAAGAATTACTTAGAAGCCAATTTTAAACATCATATAATTTTATCCATATATATTTCACTAAATATTCATAAAATAACTTTACTTTTTTTTATACATGTGAGTAGTTGCCTCAGTGTATATCTATGAGCCACGAACATGCAGTGCTCATGGACAGCGGAAGATGATGTTGGACCCCCTGGGACAGGAGTTACAGACTTTTGAAATGTCATGTGGATGCTGGGAATTAAATCTGGGTCCTAAAGAAGAGCTGCCAGTGATCTTAACTGTTGAGCCAACTCTCCAGCCCCAAAACTTTTTACAAAACCAGAACATCACATGTTTAACAAGTTAGTAATTTTTCAAAAGCAAATGTCTAGTTTACATACAAACTCCCTTAATTATATCAACTGATTTTTAACTTATTTCATCACATTGGGAACCACTTTAAGAACCATACACTGTCAACAACTTGTGGTTGAAATTCCATTAGTCTGTAGATTCATTCTCCTCTTTCCCTTCTCTCAATTTTCTTGTAACACACTTACTGAGACACACTGCCTCTTACCTTATATAGTTTTTTAGATTCTGTATTCATTGGCTGCTTCCTTACAGTGACCAGTTATCCCACTGCCCCCATTTTTTCTCATCTTTTTACTCCTGTGCGTGCGTGCGTGCGTGCGTGTGTGTGTGTGTGTGTGTGTGTGTGTGTGTGTGTTAGTAAGGACTGAACCCAGAGCCTTGCGCTTGCATACCAGGCAAGTATACTTCCACTGACACGAGTTAAGCCACCAGCCCTGCCCTTTATATATTCTACAAATCAAGATTTAGAGTCAGAACTGATTTTTCTGGAGAGGAGAGAGTAAAAATATTTCACAAGTGGAATTATATCCTTCCCCAAAGAGGCACATAAGGTCTAGTTGTCTGTCCTGTGTCTTAGTTAGAGTTTCTATTGCTATGACGAAACACTATGACCATAAAGCAAGTTGGGAAGAAAGGGGTTTATTCAGCTTATACTTCTACATTGCTGTTCACCACTGAAGGAAGTCAGGACAGGAACTCAAACAGGGCAGGATCCTGGAGGCAAGATCTGATACAGAGGCCATGGAGCGGGTACTGCTTACTGGCTTGCTCCCCATAGCTTGCTCAGTCTGCTTTCTTATAGAACCCAGGACCACCTGCCCAGGCATGGCAACACCCATCATGGGCTGGGCCCTCCCTCATGGATCACTAATTGAGAAAATGCCTTACACTGGATGTCATGGAGGCATTTCCTCAACTGAGGCTCCTTCCTCTCTGATGACTCTAGCTTGTGTCAAGTTGACACACAAAACCAAGCAGTACATTCTGTAACATTAATAGCTTTGTTAAAAACTGTATGTGCATGCATGTGTTGTGTGTGTATGATACAACTGTGTTTACCTATAAGCACACATGGGAGGCCAACAGAGAATGCCAGGTGTCCTGCTATATAACTTTTCAACTTATTCCACTGAGAGAACTTAAATTCTCTCTGTTTTACATACAACTCTTATTAAACTAACCAGACAGAAATGTCTTAGCTTGGTTCCTATTGCTATTTTTTAAGTAGGCCAGCTAGCTAGCAGTTTAGGGCTTTTCCTATGTCTGCTTCCCGCTGTGCTGTGCTAACAGGCTTGTGACCATGTCCAGCTTTTATGTGGGTGCTGGGCTCTGAACTCAGGCCCTCAGGTCCGCAGGGCAACCACTCTTCCCACTGGCCCATCTCCACAGCCCCACAACTTTACAGTCACTGCACAGATACACGGCGCTGCACTGGGGGCTGAAAACTGTAAAATTCCATCACTCTTTGTTCATCAATTAATCAAAATATTTCCATAAAAACCTCTCTTTATAAACTATTTGGTGAACTTGAAGTAAAATGTATGAAAAGAAAGCAGGCTAATATGGATGATTCTTTCATTCTTTCTCCATATTTGCTGACTTTTAAAATAATCAGTTGGTTCCCTGGCATTTTCCAAAGGCCAGCAATGAAGTTTTCATTTACAAATTGTACTATGAAGTCATAAACAAATGTATGTTCACAGTCACTGAAGTTATTGTCCTTATTAATAATCAAACTGTCTCTTTAATCAGAGGATGTCTCTTCAAGTTGGGTCCTGAGTCCTTCTGATAGGACAGTCATGACAGTATGGCAAGATATTTCTGACTTGTTTGTCATTTCCTGACCCGAACCAGAAACAACTACTGCTCTAAGGAACCCCTATATGTTTCAGTAAAAATAGTATTTAAAGTCAGATTTGGTAGCTCACAAATCTAGTTCCAGAAACTGAGAGGTAGAGGCACAAGGATTAAGAGTTCAAGATCAGCCGGGGGGTGTGGGCGTGTGGGGGGGTGTTGCACACCTTTAATCCCAGCACTCAGGAAGTAGATGCAGGTGGAACTCTATGAGTTTGAGGTCAGCCTGGTCTACAAGCAAGTTCCTGGACAGCCAGAGCAGTTACACAAAGAAATCTTGTCTCAGGAAAAAAAAAAAAAGTTCAAGATTGTCTTTGGTTATGTAATGAGATTTAGGCAATCCTGGGCTACACAAGATCCTGTCTCAAACAACAACAACAACAAAGATGGTATTAAAGATCGTAAGAGAGGTGTTGTGGGTACAACTGCAACTGCCACTGGGTTGTTTCCAGGCCTTTTCAGTGTCTAGAACTAAAAGAATCTCATTTGCTGCTGCTTTAAAAGATCATGTACATATGTAACCTCATCTATGTAGGTTATATTTCTTTTATCTCAAGCCGAAGATCCTAGTTTTCAATTAGATGCTATCATTTTGCTTTATTTCAAAATACACCAATAACTATTTCAAATACAACCAACAGGATGATCACTGAAAACAAAGGATTTTGCTTTGATCCCTAAAATACACTCCTATATTAGGAATGGACATGCAAATCTTATTTTAAAGTATTAAAAAGTTCTGTGGCCATCCCTCAAGTTCTATCTACACTCAGAAAATTTTATTTTGCTTTGTGAAGAGTTGCTTTTTAAATTTCAATGTTTTTTCATAGTTACATTCAGAAAATCTATCACCTTCATTGTACTCCTCTGACATACCTTTTCTATGATTTCTTTAATTTCTTAAAAAAAAAAAGTCACAAACACATTCATATGCTTTCTTCCTCTTATAGTGTATTTCCATTTTCTTCCTTTCTAGTTTTTGGGTTTTTTTTTAACATTTAAATTTTATTTAGCTAATGTGCGTGACTGCGTGCATGTGTGGGTGTAGGCCCAAGGTTGATGTCAGGAATCATCCTCAATCCATCTTCCACATTAATCAATAAGGCAAAGTCTCTCAATCAAACTCAGAGCTGGCCAACAGTCTTTCTAGCCAGTTTATTCTAGGGATCCCCTGTCTCTGCATTCCAAGGCTTGAATTACAGTCAGATGGCCATGTCCCATGAGTCCTGGGAATCCAAATTCCAGTTTCCATAATTTCATGCTTGAGCAGCAAGTGCCTAACCATTAACCAACCCCCTGCCTTAAAAAATGTGTGTGTGTGTGTGTGTGTGTGTGTGTGTGTGTGTGTGTGTGTGTGTGTGTGTACATATTCTGAGTTGGTAGGCCAAGTGGTGGGTCATTCCTTGGCTACATTAGATATACAAGAAGATGATTCTTCTTATTGCTGACTGAACCACTCAGCATAAAATACCCTTTCTTTTTTTTTTCCTATTGTTTCCTCACCTAAATTTTATCTGTCACATATTAAGACTGAAACTCTTGCCTTGTTTGCTATTCGTACTTGTCTGTACACCTTTGTCCATCCCTTTATTTGTCTGACTCTTTAGAAATCTCT